TACTTTATATAGCTAATAGCTAATCTTACTAGTCTTACTATATTTTAAGGAGACTGCTATATAACTTTATTATAATAAATAAGAACTAATTAACTAACCTAAACAGGCTAAGGAGCGGCTATTAACTAAGATAATTAAGATTGCTATTATTAAATAACCTAATAGCTAGCCTAAGGTATAGCCAGCGCCTTTAAAGTAAAGAAGGATTTTAAGAAGTTTAAAAAGATAATAAAAATAATAGCAGTTTAAATATAAGGAGATAACTAACCCTAGGTTTAATAAATAAAGACTTTAAAGATAATAAAATAATAATAATCCTATTACCTCCTAGTAATACTAATATTTATAGTTATAAAGTATAGATATTACTATAAGTTAGTTAATAATTAATATAAAATATAGTATAATAATATAGTAATCTTAAAAAGACTATTACTATTAGTAAGATATTAAACTAAGAGATTAAGCTAATTATTATAAATGCCTTAAGTCTGCGCTTTTTATTAACTTTAAAAAAGTAAAAAGACTATTTTTATAAGAATAATAGCTAAAGCTAGTTATTAACCTTATTAATATTAAGGACTTGCTAAGCACTTATAATACTAAAGAAAAAGTTTTTAAAAGCTAATTAAGTGCTTAAAAAAGTAAGCAGCAGTAATATATTAATATCTTAAAGATAACACTCTTTATCTTACTTAGTAAGATAATAGCTAAGGAAATAACTATATAAAAGGTATTTTAATAAGTAAAGGCAGAGTTTTAGGAATCTAGTCTTAATATATTATAAATAGTATATAAAGAATAAAAAGACTATATCTTTAGCTTTATAAATTTTATTAAAGAATTTGCTTAAAGGATTAAAACAGTTTAAGAGAAATTCCTTTAGGCTAGAAGTTAATATAAGCTTTTAAACAGCCACTTAATCTTAAAGTTTATTAATAGTTTAAGTAAGCAGTACTTTATCTAGTATACTAACTTTTAAATAAGCTATAGTATTAAATCCTTTTTAACACTTAATAGTATTATCTAAAGTGCTAAAGCTAAAGAAGTTAAATAAAAAAGCAGTATAATAATATAGGCATTATTAGTATAAAAATAACTAATAGATAATAAAGACTTAATAATAGTAAGGGTGCTAAAATATATATATATTATAGTAAGATATACTATATAAAAAATAGCTACTAAAACTTATACCTTAAGAAAAAATAATACTTAAAAGACTATAAAAACTGCTAAAGACTAATAACTATAAATATAAATTAAATAAAAAACCTAGTATTACTAGTATTAAAGTTAAATATAGTAAAATCTAATTACTTTATAATACTTTAAAAAGATATCCCCTTACTATAGTCTTAATACTATATAAATCTTAAACTTTAGCTATAGCTAGTATATAACCTTTTAATAAGAATAATTTACCTTAAAATCCTTAAAGCCTTATAATAGTATCTTTAATAGTATAGGAGATTTAAAGATTATAGTAGAAGGCATTAGTATAATAGTTTAAAAGTATATAAATGCATACTACTTAGTTATAATTATACTTATAAAAGTCCTATATATACTAGCACTTAGTCTAAACCTAATTTTAATAATATAGCTGCTTAATTTAAAAGGGGAAATAAAGGTATTTTAAAACAGCTAGATAATTAAGAAGAATAACATTAAGATTATAGTATAGCGTTTTAAAAACCTTTTTATCTTATAGACTAATTCCCTTTTAATATAAGCCTTAGTATTATATGCAGTTAATTAATAGATTAACCTCCCTTTAATAGAAGCTTTAATGTCTTATATAGTTAATCCTTAGCTATAAGTTTAGTATAATTAAATAAGGCACTTTAATAATAATAATCTTATTAAATTAAAAGAACTTATAAATAAGATAAATATAGCCTAAAAGTATTATCTTTATAAACTATATCTTTAAGGATAAATAAAGGAAAAACTATATTAAGGCTAACTATAATAAAAAGACTATATTAGTAATATAGTTTATATTAATATTTATAGCCTTTTTTATATTACTAGCTATAATAAGAAGAGGTATTAAATTACTTTAATAAATAGCTATAGCAGGTTTAGTAAAAGCAGAGTAATTAAAAATAAATAAAAAGCCTAAGAGTTTATATAATACTTTATATACTTTTTTAAAGGCAGGGAATTATAAAGGCATTACTGCTATATTATTTATATAAATAAAGCTAAGGAGTTTAATAGCTATAAATTTAACTATTAGGCTGCTTTTTATAAGATAAGTCTTAAAACCTCTTTAATAAAATAGTATTATTAAAAACTTTAATATTATAATATATAATAAACTGCTGCTTATAATAATAAAGGGGAATATACTAAAGCAGTACTAGTTAAAGATCTTAAAGATAGTTAACTATTTATATAACTACAGCTTATATAAAGCCCTAAATAAAACACCTTTTAAATATATCTTTAGCTAATAACCTAATATCTTACATATTAAGACTATAAGAATAATAACCTAGCACTTTATCCTTTAGTTATAAAAAAAGAAGCTAAATAATAAGGGGATTAAATATATACTGCTTAGATTTATTAATAATACTATATACTAACTCTTAATGCCTAAAAGAAGAGTAATTAGCTTATTAAATATATACTTTAAATCTAATACTATTTTAAAAACCTTAATTAAGAATATATAAAGTATAAGGACTTAGACTAATAACTAAATACTAATATCCTTAATTATATTATAAAAAAGATAGCATTATAAGTTAAGTGATATCTAGTTTATAATTAAAGTGCTTTTATTTTAACCTTAACCTCCTCTTATACTAATAAATCCTAAGTAAGTATATATATAAGAAGAAGTCTTAGATTACCTTAAGCTATAGTATTTATTAAAGAACTAAGTGTTCTTATTTAATATACTTACCTTTACTGCCTTTTTAAAATCTTATATTAAGAATACTAAGCCTATAACTTATAAAAAGGCAGAATACAGCTTTTTTTATAACTAATAGCTTAATAGCATAATTAAAGAGATTTAGGTATTATAAGCTAATAATATATAAAACCTTATATATTTAGATCCTAGAATAAATATACTATAAGGAAAATAGATATATAAACTTAAAAGGGGACTAGATAATAAGATTATTAAATATAAGGCATAGTAGGTTATTAAAGGCTTTAAGTAAATTACTAGTATTAACTATACTAAGACCTTTATATTAGTTATAAAGCTAATAATATATAAAGCCCTCTTTATTATAGTAGTAGTATTAGATTTAAAAATAAAGTAGATAGATATTAAGACTGCTTTTCTTTATAAGAATGTTAATAAGAATATTTATATTAAGCAGCTTATAAAGTTTATAAATAATATAAAGAGAATCTATAAGCTAAAAAAAGCTTTATATAAGTTAAAATAAGCTTTAAAAGTTTAATATAAAACGCTTACTAATTTTCTCTTAATACTTAAGTACTATGCTATCTTTACTAATAATAAGCTATATATAAAAGACAGTATCTTTATAGCTATTTATATTAATAATCTTTTTATTATTAGTAAAGATATAATAAAGATTATAGCTTTAAAAATTACCCTTTACTAATACTTTTTAATAATAAACCTTAAACCTTATTACTATTATCTAAAAATATAAATTTAATATAATTAAATAGCATAAATAATTATCCTTAATTAATAAGGCTATATCTAGAAGATCTTATACTAGTATAATATAATAAAGTATATATTAACGCTAACCTTAATAGTAAAGAAAAGGCTATAAAAAGCAGAGTAATAAAGTTAACTTAAGAAAAGAAAAGAATATTAATTAATAGCTAGCTTTTTAATATATTTAATATTAAGAATGCAGCTAGACCTTGCCTATACTATTTTAATTATTAGCTAGTACTTTAGTAATCTTAATAATATATATTAATAAGCAGTTAAATATATTCTTAAATATATATAAAGAATAAAAGACCTATACCTAGTATTTTAAAGCAACCTATAGCTACTATAAGGCTATAGTAACTTTAACTAGGCTAGTAATCTAAATATCTGCAGATTAACATTTAGTTATATATTTAATATAAGCAGCAGTAAAATTAGCTAGTTATTAAAAAGGCAGATAATAACTGCCTTATTAAGTTATAAAGCTAAGTATATAGTATAGATAAATATAATAAAAAAAGCGATCTAGCTATAAAGACTTTTTATAAAATTACAGGCTAATCTCTAGGGGGAATATATAGTAAAGTTATTACTAACTTTAAATAATTTAGTAAAGCTATTACTATCTTTAAACGCTATTATCTACTATAATAATTAAGGAGCTATTACGCTTATAAGAAACCTAATAAATTATAAAGGCTTAAAGCATATTAAGACCTAATATTATTTTATTTAAGAGAAAGTAAAAAGCAGAGAGATTAAATTAGACTATATCTTTATAAATAAGATAATAGTAAATAGATTAGCTAAGCCTTTAAGAAAAGACTAATTCCTAAAATTCTATAAAGCTCTAGGCCTAAGGAGGATTACTAATAAAGAAAGTATTAGCTAGGATACTTTAAATCTAGTAAGAGTATGTTCTAGGCCATGTTACTGTTATTCTAAGAGTATAACATTAGTAGGAGCAGTAGGAGATATGCTCTGCTAATAAGTTATTCCTTTTCTTATGCTGTTAAGTGGGAGTGTTAAAAATAGGCGCACTAATATAAGAAGTACTAGTATATAAGGTTATAGGGGTTAACTGTCTGTAAAGCATAAGTAGGAGCTAGACTCCTGCCTAGATAAAGTAGTGATAATAAAGACAAGCCAAGCTATTAGACATATATTTTAACATTTATAAACCTATAAGTAGTTAAAGATAGAGTCCTCCTATTTAAACCGTAGAGAATTCCTATTTAAACCGTAGTGGTCTATGCCCACACCGAAATATCTATATTCACACCACCAGTTCCATAGCCGCACACCCTTTTACAGTGTGGACTTATAGCACAGCCTGTGCCTGGCTAACACAACACAACAAGAGGCCGTTCAACATCACAAAGTTCAACATCACAAAGTTCAACATCGCGAAATCCAACATCGCAAAATCCAACACAGCAAAATTCAGGATCGCAGATTCAACGTCAACAGCCTCGCATGCCATATCATCACAACATCCTCTATCTATTAGTGCAGACAGTATTACAACTACATCTAATAGTATTAACTACCAGTATGCCACACTGTATTCTAGTGCGTAGGTGTAGGAAATTTTACTTAGCAGTGTCTCTCTAGCTATAGCACAGACCACTACAGTTCAAATAGGAATTCTCTACAGTTTAAATAGGAGGACTCTAAAGATAATATAATAATGCTTTTTTAAAGTCTTAAAGATTAATAATACTTATAAAACTAACTGCTTTAGTATATTTCTCTTTAAAGTTATAGGCATTATTAATTAAAAGTTAGTAGCTAACTTTACCTTTAGCTTTATTAATATAAAGAAAAAAAATACTAGTAGCTATATAAGAGTTTAAAGGATATTTATTAAGATTTTTATATTTTACTGCTTTTTATAATTATTATAAATAAGAAAAATGCCTTTAAAAATGCTTTTAAAAGTATATTTCTTTTATTATAAGAGTAACTATATATTTACTATATGTTGAAAAGTATGTTAATTGTCTTGCTTGTTGTCCCTTAGTTAGACAGGACTATAGCTCCTACTTATATCTATAGCCGGATTGACCCCTGCCTGCCTATATACTAATACTTCTTATATTGGTGCCCCCTTTTTCTAACACTCCTACTTAATAATATAGGATTGTGGGGTAATTCCTCTTACTGACCTTATGCTTCCTGGGGAGGTCTTGGATCTATATTTGCTCTTACTGACTTAGTATTATTAATATCGTTAAGAGCCTTTAACTAGGGGAGGACTTAGACTTCCTTGCTAGTATTTTCTATATTAGTGATCTTTTTTAGACCTAGGGCTTTATAGAATTTCGCAAAGTAATCTTTTCCTAGCGGCTTAGTTAATCTATTAGCTACTATCTTATCTATAGGTATATACTTAAGCTTGACTTCCCTACTGTTAACCTTCTTATAAATAAAATAATGCTAAGTCTTGATGTGTTTTAAACCTTTGTGGTTTATAGGATTTTTAGTAAGTGTAATTGCTCCCTGATTATTATAGTAGATAATTATAGCACTTAGTAAGTTCCTGGATAATAGCGTTATTAACAATGGCTTTTCTGCGTCTTCCCCTTAAAGATCGGTCTGCAATTCTGTAAATAGTCTTTATAGCTAGATAGCTTTCTTTATTATATTTATTTAACCTATATATTCAGCCTTATAGCTTAAGAGTGCAGTTATTATCTATCTCTTTAATAACTAGCTAATCTTGCTGCTGCTAACATTAAATATATAGCCAGATATTAATCTTTATATATCTAGATTACCAGCCTAGTTAGAATTACTATAGCTATATAGTGGTTATAGGTTGCTGTAAAAGACGAGGCATAGGTCTCTTATGCCTTAAATATATCTGAGAATTTGTTTAACTGCTTGTCTATGCGAATTATTAGGATTGCTAGTATAGCGACTGATAATAGAGATAGCATAGGCGAGATCTAGTTGAGTTTTAAGTATTAGATATATTAGCGACCTGACTATTAATTAATATTCCTTTTTTTCTTCTAGTTAGCTAATGTATCCTTTAGCTTTCTGCAGTCTCTTTTTTACTATTAGTGTTAGGACTGGCGTATAGTCTGATATGTTATATTATTAGAGGATCTTCTAGATGTAGCCTTGCTAATTAAGGACTATTGTTTATGCCGCTCTGTTCTGTTAGATGCGTATTCTAAGGTAGTAGTGATAGGGACCTAGATTAGTTATAGAGAAACGCTAGTGTAAGGCATCTTTAAGTTCTGCAATCTTGTCCTTGTTTTTGCCTATAAGTAATAAATCGTTAATATAGATTATAATAAAAATGCCCTCTTTAATATAAAGACTACTATCTGCTAATACTGTATAGAAGCTAAGGGTAAGGAGGAAATTAGTAAGAGTTTTATACTAGACTCTTAGTGCTTGCTTTAGACTATATAATGCTTTTTCTAACTTGCAGACTCTGTTTATGCTGTTACTAAAGCCTGTTAGTTGTTTAATATAGATGTCTTTATCTACCTTGCTATATAAAAAGGCTGTTTTAATGTCTATCTGTTTAATCTCTAGGTCTAGGGCTGCAGCTATTATAAATAAGGCCTTATAGGTTATTAGCTTAACTATAGAAGTAAAGGTCTTGGCGAAATTAATGCTGGTAATTTGCTTAAAACTGCGGATAACTTAGCGAGCCTTATATCTGACTACTTAGTTGTCTAGGCCTCTTTTTAATTTATAAACCTATTTTCCTTATAGGATGTTTATGCTTAGGTCTAGGTTAACTAGGTGCTAAGTGTTATTATCTTAGAGAGCTTATATCTTATTAGTTATCCCCTTATACTACTTATCTTTAAAGAAGCTGCAGATGGCTTCCTTATATGTGGTTAGCTTGACGTTATTAATATAGGACTTGGCTAATGCTATAAGAGCAAGGACGCTATATAATAAACACTAGCTGTATAGCAGGTACTGGAGTTCTAGGTGCCCTAGGACCTTGCTGTTTTAAGTCTTATCTTAGGTTTTAAGGCGTTTAGATGTCTCTAGCTGTAAGGACTAAAGAGGGATAATGTTAATTATAGATTAAGCAGAGCTTAGTCTTTAATATCTCTTCTTGGTTATAGATAGGCTGTCTATCTATATGCTTATAAAATAAGTGTCTATTAACTATCTAAGAGCAGCTGCAGGCTGTGCAGGTATAGCGTTAGATTTAAAGTATATGTTTAATAAACTAATAACTCTTCTGCTAGGTGTTAAGAGATAGTAAATACTATTGCTAATAAAGCCTAAGAGGGTGCATTTTATTCCTTTTTTATTAAGCTTCTTTTATTATGCTTATAGGATTAGGTGCTAGGCTGTAGTGCTTACTATTCTAACATTTAAGATATTAGGTTATTACTTAAAGATGAATTTAAATAGCGTTTTGTCTAAAGCCTTGTATAGGCTGCGATTCTGCAGGTAGTTAACAGTCTTTAGGACTTCTGGCTAGTACTGTTATAGTATTTCTCCCCTTATAAGCATAGGCAGAAGTTTGTCTTAAATTATAATATTAAAGTTCTTTATAATCCTGTTTGCTTAATGTTGCTTTATAAGTAATGTCTTTACTATAGTTCCTTATTATGCAGCCTAGTGGTTGATTTTATGGCTGTTAAATTCCTTTACCCTGTTAAGATAGACAGTTTGGTAATGGCATCCTTATAGTTCTTTATTTTTTAAGAACTAGATAAAGAACTATATAAACTCTTAGGCGCCCTGCTAGTTCTTAATAGCCTTGCTGCTGCTAAATCTGCTATAGCTGTTAACTAGGGTAATCTAGTATTGCTCCTTATTAAAACTAGTGATATAAAATAGATTATAAATGTTGGCATAGACTATATCTATAATATATTCTCCTTTTTTTAGTTATCCTTAGTATAGCTTCTCCCTTATCTATCCTTAAAGGCAAGGTTTATATAGGCAATATTCTTATATTGCGTTTATTCCTTTTACTATGTCTTTTAATTTAGCGAGGTTATTGCTGCTAAGGTAACCTATCTAGTTATGCTAGAGTTAAAGCCTTAGATCTATAGTGTATAATATAAAAGCTTATATAGGAAGGGCATTAGTCTAGAGGATAAATAGCTTCCTAAAGCGCCTTGCTGTAATTTTAATCTCTCCTTTCCTAATTATCTAGCTCTTTTAAGCTATGCGCATTTCCCCCTCTAGATTAAAGAGCTAGGTTATTAAGATTAGGTTTAATCTAAGGGTAGGTGTGTATAGAACGTTTATAAATATAATGGTTACTAAAATGTTTTAGTTTATGCAGTGTTAGACTATATTTCCTATGCCTTTTACTGTAATCTTAAAGTCTTTAATGCTGTTAAGTATGCTATTATATAGATAGAGGGTTCCTAGAGCAAATTCCTCTTTATAGTGTGTAGCATGCTATTTATAGCTAGAGTCTAATACCTACATGGCCTTAAGGCTGCACTTAGATATCTTAAAAGGATATATAGTGGTTGTTATTGTTAAATCTGACTGCTTTAGTTATCTTAGATGTGAGGAAGGTAGGGTTCTCCTTGTTAGATGGCGATAGCTTAACTGTCTTAGGATTATGGTGTTAGGTCTGTTATTGCTTTTTATTATCTTAGTGTCTCTTCTTTTCTAGGTGTAACTCTTAGTATATATCCTTTATATAATGTGTTTTGCTATAATAGGTGTAGTGTAGGACCCTTACTATTATTAAGTCTTTTTTATTTATTAGTGCTATGCGTTTCTGTATTAGCAGGACTTATATGCCTGCTATACTGCCTTTTTGCCTAATCTCTTTAGCCTTAGCGCTATAGATAATGCTATCTAGTATTAAGAATACCTTAGAGTTATAATTTATCTAGAAGTTTATATACTAGATAAGATACTAGTCGCTTAGCCTATTAATGAATTTTAGTATTAGGTGGCTGTTTAGGAGCTTATGCTGACTTCTAGCTTATAAGAACTTCTTCTAGATAGTCTTAATCTTTTAGGTAAAGTCTTATACTAAATCTAAGGAAGAGAAATTGCATTCTTCTTATTCTTTATAGGCTGCCTAAAAGGCACTAAGGCTAGACTTCTAGAATTTATCTCTTACTTACTAGAAGACCTTTTAAACAGTCTTTTTATTACTTATTATCTTGCTTAGTAAGATAGATAGTGTTGTCTTTAAAATCCTGATATATTATCTCTGCTTGCTTTTCTAGGCGTCTAGCTGATCTACTAGGACCTTGTCCTTAGTGTTATATACGCTTAGTAGGTTTTCTGCGCTTATAAGGTTAATAATAAGCTTTAGCTGTTATTCTTAAGCAAGATAGTCTTTTTATCTCTCTAGGGTTAGGAGAGATTTAAGACTAAATGCGCTAACTGAGATTGGCTTAATTTCTAGCCTAGTTACGCTCCTGGCTGTAATGCTGTCTTTTAGATTGCTGTGTTATTAAGCTATATTATAGATTGGTCTTGGTCTTTAATTAGGAGGTATGCGGACTTTGCACTTAAAGATGTTAGTGTTGCTTAGTAGTATAG